CTGAACACAAACAGAAAATTAGCTGAAATTAGGGTTCTATAGAGAGAGAGGCGTCAGTTGGCAGCTGGTTCAGAACGCGCTGGACTGAGTGCAGTCTTTAATCCTGCCCACAGTTCTGGGTCGCTGTCATTTCAAGAGCAGCAGCACAGAAAAACACAATAATAGCCAGGCTGCAGAGGAGCAGACAGCTTTTGTCGGGTTGAACGCAGACATGTGAGCATTTCAGAGAAAGTGCTTCCTGCGGTGGGAATATAGCTCTGAGTGATTGAATGAGCTTTGGCCGCATTCCATTAATAGCAGGTCAAACTGGCTGCAGCTCCTCGTCGCTGGTGCCATTCTGCTTTCCTGCAAACAAAGCAGCACTGGGTTTTATAAGGTCTTTTTTTTTTTTTTCAGTGTGCAATTTTGCAGATAAGTTCACGTTGAGTTCCCTCGTTGCTGCTGCTCCACGGCCACAGGCTATTGTACTTCTGCAGGATTGTCCCACTGTAGGTGCTGGGAGTCCGCTGTCTTTTTCAATTGAGATATTTCCAGCAGTGGCACAGCTTAGACATTCATCATTTCATATACAATATGGATAAATGTGAGAGAACTATTTGTCTGGTTTTGTCCAAATGGGTAACTCAGTGAGGGCTGTGTGGAATTGCTGACTTTTCTTTATGCAAAAAAATAAAATAAATTAAATGTGATAACATCCAGCATCTGTTGCTGTTGCCCCACACACCAGTTCTGTCTAATCTCCCTGGTCAAGACCAAATCCTCCCTCATGACTCTTCTGTTCATCCATGAAGGATTGGACGGACCATAATTACTGCCCCTGAGGGGCAATTTGTTGAGCAACAATAGCCAGTGCAACAGTGTGCTGTGAAATAAACACAATAAATAAGAAAAAAAATAAAATACACATGCAGCGAATGTCCACAGGTCAAACCACGTTCAACACACAATGACTTACATTCAGGACATTGTTTGTGTACAATCCAAACAGCTGAGGAAACCAACGATGTCAGAAGTGAGAACTGTGTCTGTACAGGACAATGTGGGTTCAGCTGGGGCGACCTTTGTCCTCTGACCTCACAGGCCAATCTCCAGTACTAAAACCAATGAGAATCTCTCAATAATATCATTATTGAGAATCTCTCAATAATATCATTATGTGTGGGTGTAAGGAGAGAGAGAGAGAGAGAGAGAGAGAGAGAGCTGTGGCCCGGTGGCTCATAAAGAGCTGATCAGCAGTAAACATATAAAACCCTCCACATAAAAGCATGATAAATGTTGTTGTTCTTGTATAAAGTAGCCAGAGACAAACTCTGGGTCAAAGGCGAGTAACGAATTTAATATTGTTTCGGGGCGACGGGGGGGAGGGTCGAGGGGCATTTTCACATGATATTACTGTGAGCTTTTAACCTTACGCTGTAGAGAAGCAGCTATAAACATGATGGTTCTAATTCCCTTTATTATCTACAGTACGTTTCTTCCTGTTCATAATCCTTTCAGCTGACCGTTCCACTGTCAGTTCTACCTTCAGTATCTACCACCTTCCTGCTCACTATTGTGTCTAGACACTGAACAAATGTTAACCTACAAACTCAACTACTGGATTACCTACCTACTGACCCATCCACCTACAGTACATACAGTCCCTGTGGATCTATATATACTTTTTTTTTTTTAAAAATCCACAATATCCGACTATTCCTCTGACATACAGTATGTGCAATGGTAGAATAACAAAATCTGAAATTATTTAAAATAAAGTCATTCTTAGATCAATAGAATTAAAGGAGGACTTCAAAAGCTGGATTAACATTAAGTTTGGAATTGCAAACATAAGCTCTTCCTGGTTTAACGGTGAAAAAACAAACAGAGGTGGGAGACAGCTTTTTGTTTTTGTTTTTTGTCTAGTTTGTGAAGTTTCTGTCTGTATAGAGCAGACACAGCTCAGAGAATTCAACTGTAAACCTCAGACTGGTTGTGTTGTTAACACATTTACCTGATGGGAATATGTACTTTACCACCTCCTTGTCTCCTAACCCACAGTCCTTCCTTCCTGACCTACTAACTTCCACCTCTCCACCCACCTCCCCATCACTCTCCTCCTTCCCTACAGCATCTATCCAACTACTGCCAACCTTCCTTCCCTCATCCTTCCTACAGTACTTGCTCTCCAGTACACAGACTGACCTGTTCCACTGCCTACTGTCTGTTTACTGCCTCCCTCTCTGTTGAACTACCAACCAGCCCACATACCATTCTGCCAAACTCACTTCCCCACCTGCACATTTACTGACCTGTTGTCTTATCCTCCTACCTTTCCTACCAGCTTTGCCTGCCTGTCCACCTCCAGTGACGACCCACCGTCCTACATTAACTACTCACCTAACCATCTGCTGCGTGTCTCGTGCTGAACGGCCGCCTTTGTGGCTGTACGTGTGTGTAACCTTTAACAAAACCAACGTTCTCTCGCCTGCCCTCGTCTCCATCTGTACTTAACACTGGCGCTCCGGCCGGCCCATTGTGTGGAGGCTGTAAAAGTGGTGAATTAGCTTCATGTGGTTGAACCCTGCTGACCCCCATTATACACTCAGGGACACATATAATTAGCGGCAACTCACGTGAAACGACAAAATGTATTAATATTAATGGAGGTTTAATTGAGGTCGTCTTGGTCCCCGCCGAGGCTTTCAACCTCTAAAACAGCTGACGTGTGATAGTGTGAGGAGAGAGAGCTCTCGCCTCGCGCTCCACATTTCTTACTTGACCCCGGAGAAGATGACAACCATCGCCCATAATTCATGTGAAGATGTCACCTTCCTGACAGATGAACAGGCCTCGTGGGCAGCCTGTGTGAGACGCCGTTAGCTATACTTGAGAGGTTCGGGTTTTTTCTTTTGGACACTGTGAGGACCTTTAAGCAGGACATTACACCTTCAAGAGGTCTGTTTTGGTCAGGACTTAGTTTGATATTTAGTGTTAGACTCAAGTTCAAGATTCAGGTTAGAACTTTAAAAACCAATGAAATGTAAAGTTGTCTAAAGCCTGAATGTTTTTGTCTTATAATTCTAGACAATAAGAAAACTTTGAGGATGACATTTAAGAAAGATTAAGTGGTGTTAGAAGAAAGCCAAACAACAAATATCAAGCTATACCAGATAAATAGCAAATTAGCTATTCATATTAGCCAAAAAGCTAGCAAAGAAACAGGAAATGTTAGCCAGGAAAAGATTTAAAAACGAAACCCTGAAAAAGTTCAAAATGGGCCAAAAATCTATCAAAAAATAGTCATAAATAACTGTGTTAAAAATAGCAAACACAGCCTAATGGTTAGCTAAAAAAATATAGCCAAAGAGTGCATCAACTGCCAAATGTGTGGTAAATGCAGAAATGACTACAAATATGCACCTAACCTATATATATAAAAAAATAAAGATCTATCAAAATATACAACAAAAATATAGATAAAGGTTAGCTGAGCATGCAGGTTCTAATAGAAAGAGTCCATAAAGTTAGCATCATAGCTAGAGAAAAAGTGCCCTGGACCTTTTTCTTATCAAAATGAATTAAAATCATGCAAAATGTCACAGGGGTGAAAGTTAATTTCTTATCATTGTCACATGAAAAGTATTGTAGTATTATGTCAAGTATTATCAGTGTCAGAGCCAGGTGACTATAAATCAGTGTCTTTAAATGATTGTGAGTTATTATTATTCAAAGAAAGACTTTGTCATTGTTATTTTTTTATGGTGATGTCTTTGGGGTTTAGAGCTCAGTCCCAGTAACAGTCTCAATGTCCTCACAATATTAGAGAAGTTGTGCGCGTGTGTGTGTGTATGTGTGTCCAAGCTTGGTCGGTGTCCACACGTGCACATCAGAGTGAAGGTCAAATCCAACAGGATAATTAATGTTGCTGCTTTTCATACAATGTTAAATCAAATCCTGGAACTGCTCCCCCCGGAGGATCAGCTGTCCAATTTAATTTAGGCTGCAGAGCGAGTAAATGAAAACTCAAAAGCCATGTCTCCCAACCCTGGGACACACTCTCTGTACCTTTCATCTTTTTCTTACTTAATTTTGTCCAGAGCATGCAACAGTTAGACAGGCGAGTCGGCTACATTTTTACCCACCTGCCCCAGAGGGACAGGCTTTTGAAAAGTTAGAGACTATTGCACACAGTTAAGGTAAAGAGTTGTAAAACGTTCCCCGGGGGGGAGGTTCATGTGCCTTTTTATAAATGAGAGGGGTTTTATTTTCTCAATTTTCCCCTTATAACATATTAAATACTAATACCCAGAGAGACAGCTTTGGAATTACTTATGTGTGTTGTTCATTCAATGCAAACACCACCAGTCATTTCCACAAACACATTACATGTATATATAGGCTTATACCAGCTAAAAAAGGCTTTCATTTCCATTATATGTTTTGTTACTAAACAGTACATAAATCATCTAAGAAGAATACGTTTTACACTTAAATTTCAACAATATACTGGTGTTTTTGTCCTACAGTTTACCTTGTGTGCAACTCATTGAATGTTGATATAAAAACCTTTTTTTTTAATGATGCAGTCCTGAAATACCTATAATCAATGCTTAGTATGATCTACATTCTTTTTAGATCGACCAGATCTTGACAATACTGGCTGAAATACAGACCATTAGAGTTATTTATTTATTTAACCAATTTTTTTCTTAACATTAAAACGTTTGAAACGTATTGGTTCAGGGCCTCCGACTGTTTTCGGTCAAAAATTAAAGCAAGAGTTTAATTTGTAATTTTATAACTCTGTTAAACTTTTTCCTTCCATTCAGACAATTTATAGCATTTGTAAACCTCCCTTTAAAATGTTTAAAAAGTCTTGGTGTCTTTAAGACACTATTGGCACATAGACCAAATAATAAAAGAAATCTTTGTGAGTAGATTGTGATTAGTGTTCTAATAACTTCTTAAAGGCTCTCAGGCTGCTCTTATATATTTCATTAAAATTTAGTCTTCAGAGTAAAACATAAACACCATGGTAATGACTTTATATAGTGTTCAATAAAACTAGTAAAACAAGGTCCCTCCTTTTTAAATGTATTATGTATTTTTATTTTTAATATGTTGTTATGTGCTACGTATGTTGCTTCTGTGTTATATTCTATAGGTTTTCGATTGTAGTTAACGGTAGATTTTGAATGTTGTAATTAAATGTCAGCAGAGTTTGTGTCATTTTGATCAGGCGGTATCTGTGGAAACCTGACGCTCGCTGACTGGACCCTCCTACTCCCAGTGGAACTATGGAAGTAGGAAGCTTCAGAACCGGCTTCATCGGTGAGTACAAACCGTTATTTTTCCACGAAATTCAAGGTATATCAACACCACTGATAGATAGGATAGTACGTATTCAGATCATAATAATCATGCTGGCTGAGGCTGAACCGAACAAGGTTGAAACTAGCTGTTTCCCGCCTTGGAAACCAGGGTTAGCTGTAGCTTATTAGCTAGGGCAATTTTAGGCTAAGGACATTATTAAATATTGTCAGTCATTAGTTTAGGGGCCATTGACGAGCTCTTTGCATTTGAATATGAAGGACATTGCAGATTCTGGGAGGTTTAAAGGTTTGTAAGTGGCAAAGTTTGCATTTAGCCTGCGTTTAGCCCTGTTAGTATTGAAAGTGGAAGAGTGCGGATGCTGAGGAGCCACGCTGAAGTTTCCTATTGGTCAGAAATTCTAAGCTGTTTGTTTACACCCGTGGAACATAAAAGAGAAACATTAAAGAAGGAAACATACCGTGGATCGAGTTATTGTCATAATTCAAGTGTAAATTAAAGATGGGTGTATTTTAATTAGATTCAATAAAGATTCAAATTGAGCTGTTTTAATTTATGAAAATTGAGATGGTATACAGTATTTTAAACCATCCTAGTTAGTTTTGACTTTAGATGTAAACGGGTAAAAAGATTGTACTGCTAAATGTGATCAAAAACTGTAGGTCAGTAGCATTTGGTACTGAAAGGGAATCTGAGCAATACATGTCCAACCTTGCAGGATGTTTGCTTAGTGTCGTTTACTGCTAACACTGTTAGTGTTGCTTTTCCTTTAGCTGACCTTTGTATTTTTATATGTTATATGTTCTTTCCTCCAACAACTGTGTTTTTTACTTTCTCTTCTTCATGATCATGTTGTGATTTGGCTGTTGCCATAAAGGTACATATTACTGTGTATTGATTGGGGCATAGAGAAAAGACAGTTTAGTTTAAATCCAAAAAGTTGAATCTGTTTACAGTGCAAAAGTATAATAAAATGTAAATGCTATTATAAATCCAAAAAGTTGAATCTGTTTACAGAAAAGTATAATAAAATGTAAATGCAATTAATTCAACAATTCAAAGTTAATTGATAATGGGGAGGTCTGTTAATGGTTCAAGCACTGCTGTGCCTCTGGTCTCAAAGCTCAAATACTTGCACTCAAAGCAGACACAGGATGATGAGCTAAAGCAACAATAGAAATGACAAAAAAAATCTACAGATTTCCCGTTCTGTATTACACCACATCACATTACAGGTTTAAAGATTATAAATTTGGTTTGGACTAAGGCTCAAACCAGGAATTTCAGACTTTTTCTTAGGCTAAAAAAACATGGACCATTACATATAATTATTCAAGTATTGAAAGATGTTTGTCGTTTCCCTTACCCAAACACACTCTTTGAAAAAAACACATTGGACTGAATCGTGGATTCTGAAACAGATCGAATTTCAATAGTGACTGAATCGTGGATTCTGAAACAGATCAAATTTCAATTTTTAGTGGTTGCTGTTTAGTAAACTTCTAACAATTCTAAACACCTGCTAATATATAGTGGTTTGCATGTGGCATGATATGAAACTATGAGTTTATTTCTGTGTTTCTCAAATGACCACAGATTGGGCTACTTTGAGGTCTGGTCTAGACCATAAGTGGCCTTTGAGCCGCAATTTGAATCTGCCTGTTGTATTGTATTATAATTTATTTTTTAAATTTATTTTTGGCAGTGGGTGAAATGTACTTGCACATCACTGTCATACTTTCTATGGAAATATTTCACAGCAATATATTGCTCTAGACAAAAATATGTGTAATGTCTGATGGTTTTACAAAAACACAAGATAATCCATATTTCTCCAACTAAAATAAGTTGGACTTGCGTGTCTCATCATTCTTCCATCATGTCCCCTCTTCTCACCATTTTTTCCCCAGGCATAGGTGTAAGAATGTGGCTTCTGTGGGCCCTGCTGTTCTCCCTGGTCAGCGCATCGTCTGCGGGTGCAGACTCCAAAGCTGTCACCACCACCCTGACTACTAAATGGGCTGATACCCCTCTGCTGCTGGAGGCCAGGTATAATTCTGTAACTCTGCACTGCTTTAAAAGTGCAGTAGCAGCCACATTACGTTAAACATTACATCCAACTATTTTGGAAGTAGGTAACAGATAAATCACTGTCCTGGGAGCTGCCAGGATCATTATTAAGACTGTCCTCTAAGCAAGTTTCAACTTTTGTCTCATTATTTAGTCCTTAAGAAAGTTTGTTCACTGTGACTGTACCTCTCGACCAATGTAACTGTTGCCTTCGTCTTCTTCTTCTTCCTCAGTGAGTTCTTGGCAGAGGAGAGCCAAGAGAAGTTCTGGGACTTTGTTGAGAGCAATCAAAACATCGAAGGAGAGCACGATGGTAAAGTAATGCTGCTCCAGCCTCACTAGACCAGTTTTCATTATTAGTCTCTCCGCTGTCCGCAGCTAATTTTATGATGTGTGCGTAAGCTGCTTGGCAGCAGCTGCAGTGTCAGTTGTTTTGGTCAAACACTTCTGCATGCAGTAGCATAACATAGATGCGCACCATTACTGTCTAGTTCATTTTTCTCTGTAATGATAATGACTCAGTGTATTAACAGTGTGTGCATGTGACGTTGTCCCCACACAGACACAGACCAGGCCTACTATGAGCTGATAGTGAAGAAAGCCAGTGCCTTGCTCAGCTCCGTCCAGCTGAACATGCTGAAGTTTGCCCTGTCCCTGAGAGCGTACTCTGCCACCGTTCACTCCTTCCAACAGGTACATGGAAAATGGCTGTGATTTTAAACACTTTTAGAGGTACATGGAAAATGGCTGTGATTTTAGTACACTTGAACACTTTTACTTAAATTTCAGTGCGATTATATTCCTGGAGACACGTTTGCATGTGTTGGCTAATCCCACTCTGCTTCATATTTTTAGATAGCCTCCAATGAGCCTCCTCCATCTGGCTGCTCAGCCTTTTTCAATGTCCATGGAGAGAAGACGTGTGATGCTGATGGCTTAGACGCTCTGCTGAAAATGGCACCTGAACGGTAATTATATACGTCAGTGGTCAACAAACTATTTTTTGGCTTGTGATGCTATTTTGACATCACATATTTCTGGTGAGACCAGAATGGAATTAGTTTTTGATCATGTTTGTTATATTGTGTTGCGAGTAGCCAGATTATTCTATTTTGTGGGTGGGGGGGCTGTTTTTAATCATTTCAATATGAATAATTGTATTGTATTTTTATTATTAATTACTAGACATTTCAGGCGACCACCTTTGAATTCCAGACGATTCTTCATGGCGTTGTTACATTTCTAATAACTTCATCGACTTTCACTTTCTCACTTGTTTCAGCCCAAAGCCCTATCTCTTCAAAGGAGACCACAAATACTCTGGATCAAACCCAGATGCTCCTGTTGTCATTCTGTACGCCGAGTTTGGAAAACCACACTTCAGAGATCTTCATGAAGTTGTAGCGTCCAAAGCCAGAGAAGGACTGGTGACCTATGTGCTCCGGCATTATCTGGCAGTAAGTGTTCCCAGTCAGGGCACATGTAGTGCCTTTATATGAAAACATATTTAGTCAGCAGTGTGTCTCCAGTGTGAGTCATAGTTTACAGTCCAACTGTAACCACTTTGACAAATGTCCTTATTTGTGTCGTACATAGTTGAAATATGTATTGGAAACATTGTCAACGTTGTTGTCACTTCAGATGCAGTGAAGTGATCTGGACAGCCGTCTGCCTGTCGATCTGAGTGCATTAGCTCATGTTGTAATTCCTCACTGAATACATCTGGGAGAGCGGCATACACCAGAGAGTTGACAGTATAGCTGAAGGAGGGGTTGCTTTTACCAAACACTCTTTTCTCTTTCACTCTGCTTCCAATTTGCTTCCAGAATTCTAATGAGCGGAAAGTGTATCTGTCTGGATATGGAGTGGAGCTGGCAATCAAAAGTCAGGAGTACAAGGCAAAAGACGACACACAAGTCCAAGGTACACATGCGCACACACACACATACAGTAGCATGCACAAACACAGTTGGTGTGTAGATATGCAGATATGGTTGTATAATTCCAGTGAAGTCCAGATGGGAATAACAAGTTAATTGATTGGCTTTTTAGGAACAGAGGTGAATGCTACAGTGATCGGAGAGAATGATCCAGTGGACGAGGTCCAGGGATTCCTTTTTGGCAAACTCAAGTGAGTGATTCAGTGTCAAGGCCATGATAAAAATTCAGAGCTTGGATTATGTCCAGCAAATGCACCACGCTCACACAGCAGCCAAGAATTTTTTTTCCCTTCTTTTTTCACATTTTCTTCACCAGGTTCTTTCCCCTCGAGGACTGACTCTAACCTTTTTGTCTCTGATAACTATCCTGAAAATCCAACCATCTTTCTCTGTAACAGTCTGCTTACCCTAATTAGCAATTTACTACTTAAGCAATTAGGAAAACACTTTTCAACACTTGCTGTCTGTCCTTTTTTACCTACAGGACAATTTACCCAGAGCTGAAAGAACAGCTGAAAGAGTTGAGGAAGCACTTGGTTGAAAGCACCAATGAAATGGCTCCTCTCAAAGTCTGGCAAATGCAGGGTGAGCCTCCGTTCAGATTTTGTTCTGTTTCTTCTTGATATCCTTTGTTTCCTCCTGTAAAAACACACAACGATCACCTCCTCACTTTACAGTTAACACCTGCAGACATTATTTCTGTCACCTCGATGTTGCATGAATCGATTTTATGATTCTGTAAAAATACCCTCAGGACTGAGCAGGAAGGCCCATTAGTGTAGCAGCTACAGCTAACTGAAGATAATTATCTCAGGCAAAAAAAAAAAAAATCCCAGCTCCTCATCCTCCAACTGTAATCGATGGTTTCTTGACTTACACTTTTTCCTGTTCTAACCATTTTACATAAACTGTTTGGGTTTTTGTTTGGGCATATATTTCTGAGCACAAAGAGCAAAAGAGAAGCAGTGAATGGACTTTTGAATTGTTAGAGGCTTTTTAATTTTTTTTTTAATTTTAAGAATCTATTTTAAGCAAATATTTCACAGATTTTAAACAGTTCTAACTGTGTGTTTACCTTCACCTACACCATCTGTGCTGCAGTCACCTAAGGTGATTCTGGTGGGAGAAATTTATTTTCCTTATCCTGCAAAAACATTGATTTCTCAAACAGAATAATTTCATATTTGCTTCTTTTTCTGTAAAACGCTGGATCTTTCCATCAATACATTCACAGCTGAATTAAGTCGCCCTGTAATCAATGACTGCGGTCGATCGTTGCTTCTTTTTAATACATCTGACTCATGAGTTCAGAGCTTTTCTCTGCCGCTGCATTGAAGCGTTATTGATTTCTGTTTCACCATCTGATGAATCTCAGACTTAATTGTGTCTGTTTCTGGTTTCCATTTCTGTGACTTACCTCACTCCTACCTCAGGTTAGTTCTCCTTCCTGACATTCTGAATTTAATAAACACCTTATTTTCTTCCTAGTATCTACACATAAATTCCGTAATTAATAAAGTCATGTAAAATCACATTGTAAATATTTAGCTCTGTGTCAATGCTCAGTGGCAGCAAGATTATTGAAATTCTGCTTCGAATCGGGAAAATGTTAATGGAATAATTCTCATGAGTGAAGTTGATCAATCACTTAATCATTTTATCACTGAACCCAACCAACCTTTGGACAAATGGAGACGTTCTTCCTCTTTTGGGACTCATTTTAAAGCAGTTATTTGTTCATGTTATCCTAATGTGTAATCTTATAGTGTGGTCTTAAAAAAAAGGAGAAAGTTAGTCTTTCTCATCTTCTTCATCATCAGGAACACACTATTGTGTATAGTCTGTCCAGAGCAAATGCAAGTTCGTCTCCCTCTATATCAACATATGTCAAACCCAAGGTCAGTGGGTCAAATGTGGCCCACAACATCATTCTATGTGGTCCACGTGTAGGGTTGTCTTAAAATATTTGATGGGTAAAATGCAGTGGTCAAACTCTTTGCATTTTTTCATTTTATTAATTTAAGTGTACATTTACATTTGTGTGTTTTCTGTTTCATCTGTTCTATCAGTATCTCCATAGTCCATCATCCATAGCTGTTGCAGAATGTTTGTCTGTTTATTTTGTGTTCTTAAATGTCATCATCAAATGTCCTTTTTTACCAGCAGTGTAGTCAGAACATCATCGGGAGGTTACTCTGAGTGTGTAAAATAAAGGATGTAAGTGGAGGAGCGAGTTTCAGCTGAGCTCATCTGTCAGACTGTCATGTGGGCGTCTGTCTTTATCTTCTTCCCTGCTGGGGCTCATTATCTCAGTCTGTTTATAAAGACAGGGAGAACCTCCAGGGGCTAATAATCACACAGGCTACAGCCCCATTACAAAGAAGCTGCTTGCATTGAAATTAAGCAAATTAATCCTTACAACACTCCGCTCCAGTAAAAGCCCTGTGCTGTACATGTACCTAGCATCTTGTATGCAGGAATGTGAACATTTGAATTATTTCTGCAACTGTTACGACCAAATGACAATAACCAAGAGCCACAAAAAATATTTCAACCATTTAAATGAAAGCAGTATTGAAGTACTATAAATATGCAACAGAATTTTATAAAAGTACATACATCTGTATTAAGAGAACAGCAATATTGTTTGTGTTGTTTTGCTGTGTGAAAACCAGCTTACATTTTAGTGGAACTTTTGAAAAGTGTGAAAAAATCCACAGTTTCTGCCAACCATTGATAAGTCAGTGTCTGCAGAAAAATTATTCCAACTTTGTCTTCTGTGAAGGCTGAAACAGCCCGTTGAACTAACTGATGAACCAGTTTCAAATAAGAATGGCTTATGATTCAAAGTCCCATCACTTCAGCCAATCACCAACACCAGTAGCTGAAATACAGTCCTAAACTTACAGAGGTAGCTTAGCTTTGTTGGTAGTTCTAAGCAGTCATTGATGTATTGTTCTCAGGTCTCCCACTAGACCAGGGGAGTCAAACTGTCACTCAAGGGGCCAAAATTTACAACTTGATATGAGCTGAACATTAGTAGTGATGATACTTTAACCAGGAATGAAGAATTCCACACTTCTTCCTCATTGAAGTAAATATATATATATATATATATAAATGTAAGTAAATATTGTTTACCCATAAAATGTAGTGTAGTGTAATGTAAATAAAAAATAAAAATGTAAATCATTTGTAATTAATACTAAAAAAGTAAAATTGTAGGTACGTTACATACACACAAAAATTTGACCATTGCATTTAATCTCTCCAGTACATATTAGTTCCACACATTAAGACTACTGTATATACTGTATATGTGAAGCCCTGGTGGGCCGCATATAATGATATGATCGGCCCAATTCGGCCTGCTAACCTTAAGTTTGACACGCACAACTTTTCCCCTTAAAGGGAACCTTGACATTAAAGTTGTTGTTTAATTTGTAAATGTGTTGCCTTTAGACGCTGTTCTTCTATTTTGCTCTTCTAACTCTTCATTATTACCATTTCTAAGGTGAATTATGTTGAGACACCTTTCTTAGATCTTATTTTTAGAATCTTATTCTCCTTGAAACATAAGCCACTCTGAGGCCCTGTTTGTCAGACTTAGATTTAATATTATTTAATAATTATTATTTAATTATTTAATATAATTTGCCCTGTTGCTTCATGTTCTATCCTCCACTTGCCTTGTCATCACATTTCCTGATGAAATCTTGGTTCTGTACTTGGTAAAATAATGTTCTGGTACTTATTAATAACCCCGCTTTACAGACTCCAGTACTTCAACATAAATTAAATTAATGCATTTCATGCTAAAACAAGCTTGTTAACATGAATCATTTGCTCGTTAATTTAATTGGCTCAGCTGATAATATTTTTAGCTACTTTAGCAACTTAGCTTGGGGGTAGGCTCCGCATGTCTGAGAGAGGACAAATGTCCTGAAAGCGTGCAGAAACACTGTACATAGTTTATGTGATCGTCGATGGACTTGTAGCGAGAGCTTTAAATAACGGTCCATGTCTGTGACTTGTTCTAAACTGTCTTGTGATATTTGGTGCAGGCGTTCATTGGTAATCTCTGTGCCAGTCACCTGGCTTATCATCGTACTGTGAGGCAAAACTTTAATTTGCCCTGTAATTAAGTTTATGACCTATAACAAAATGAAGTTCCTTATCAGCTCAGGCTCTAATACTTAGCCAACTGTTTTTTGCATTTTTGCACACTAAAATGAGAATATTATAATTATGGCATTCCTCAGACCCTCAGAGCTGCTTTTAGTTTGTGGGAATGATGAAAATCCACTGTATGTTTGAAAAGAGCAGCTTTTCATTGTTGTCTCTTTCCCAATCTTTGCGAACAGATCTGAGTTTCCAAACAGCAGCTCGCATTCTCGCTGCTCCTGCTGTAGAAGCCCTCAACGTCATGAAAGACCTCAGTCAGAACTTTCCCACAAAAGCCAGGTAAAAAATACGCACCCACCGATCCAGTACACACTGAACAAAAACAAACATTTCCTGCACGAACAAAGCCTGTTGTATTTTTTCCTCACAGATCCATCACAAAAACAGTGGTCAACTCAGAGATACGTAAAGAAATTGGTGACAACCAGAAGGTATGTTGGTCTGTGGAGCTGGTGAACACAGTAACACTGCTCCAGTTTGATACATGTGTCAGAAACACAACAAACTGTTGTTGGGCAGCGCTGCATACCAAATAGCTGCAAATGGCGTTTTTGTCAGCGACACTTAGTCCTAAGTCAATTTAAACCCAGTGCTGATGTAAATCCTCTTTAAAGAGTCTCAGATATATGGTTTAATTAGAAAAAAAGCTAAATGATGCCTTGAAGGTAATTTCCTGTGCTGTGTAGTTTTTAGCTAGTGTTGATTAAACCAGAGGAAATAATGCATTCATAGGCAATTATTTTTAGCCACAAGTTAATACACCACTAATGGTCTGGTAAGTATTTGCAGCCGAGAATCAATTGCTCCAATTTCTACTACAAAAGAGCAACCAAGCAGCGTGGGTTAATAAATAAATGTGTTGGGTTTTTTTTTCTTTTTTTTTTCGTTTTTATAGTCCATTTATTCATGATGAGGTCACATGGGTTATGTTGCACATCTGCCAATGAGGTCATTACAGCACCAGTAGTCTGTGCATTTTAGTATTATTTGTTTTGAATTGCATCACAGTTAATGTTAATAATCAAAATGACTGGTGTCACCTGTGTTTGATCATTACAAACAGCAGTAGAAGGTTTCATAAGAATGATTTCTCCACCTCATGGTGATTGAAACTATGTTCTTGAATTGAAATATACTGGCATAATAAATTAACTAATGCCTGAATAGTCTGCAGTGAAGGTCCTGGAAAGATTTGGCAGAATCATTTTTTCAAGTCATTCTCTCTGGGTCTCAGTCCGTCCTCCTCTTCAGAGATGTTCGTGTGCCTGGACTGGTACTGTTCTCTACCTCCCTGATAGACCAACCTCTGGGTCAGGGACAATATACGGCAATATACCTCAATATAATTCAGATTCACTTTCACCTTGTTCCTGCTGTTTGTGGTGAATAAGAACATTTACTGGTGCTGACACTTGTTTCTGTTATTGGTAAAAGTTATTTGTAGAGGAAAACATTTCTGGGGACGTGAGCATTTTACACCCTCAAACAACCATGGCAGAATCTCTCTTATTTTTTTTTTTTTTTAAGAATCATTTAAATACTGTTGTGAAATATTTGTTAAAAGTCATTCGGTACATTTATTAAACTCGTTGTTGCTGTCAGGTTTCCCTTCCTCTGATTTCCCACGCTGTCCTTTTCACTCTTGACTCTCCTCATCTCTGCTGGATCTCCTCCTGCTCCTCTTTCATTCTCCTCCCTGTTTGCTCCACAGCAGGCCCACTGTCTTACCTTCCTTCCTGATGTCTGTGTTGTCATCTATTCAGGCATAATTTAAGATTAGATGTTCGCCGGCAGGCTCCAGTGAAAAAAGAAAGAACCCAACAAACACAGACAATATTACTGCATGCCAACACAGCCCACCGCCTCTCAGCCTCCGTCTGCAGGGAAATATATCAAAATGAGAACTGCCTTTTCTTGTTTTTGTTTGTGTTCCTCTCACCTTTTATTATCAGCTGATAAATGGTAAACAAGGCCTGATTTGAAAAGCATTTAGCTTCTAACAATGTATTAGGCTCTGCCCTGCTAATGGAATAGGTAATCACCCACCTTTTTTTCCCTTGTCAAATGTTATTTCACTCCCCCTTCCTCCTCCTACTCCTTCCTTCTTTCACCACAGCTACGCTGGCATTATCTTGCTCTGCAGACAGCAGTTTGGATGGAAGGTGTTCAGGGGGATAGAGGAGAGGGAGGGGGCAGCAAAACGTCCTAATTACTGAATCGGTGATTCATTCAGCCGACCCTGCAGCGAGAAAGGGATTATTGATTGAAGTAGTTCAGAAACATGCAGATGTTTTTTTTTTTTCTCTCTCTCTTACACGCATGGGGATGAAAAATCTGCGTGGTATCATGTCTTGGGTTTAATTGCTGAATCTTGAGTACGATTAATCTGACGTGTTTGTTTTTCTGTAATGAGATTTGTCTGCAACATGACAGATTTTCTTTTTTGTCACTGCAGACACACACAAATACACACACGTGCCGCTTCTCAGAGCCATGAACAAAAGCACGCATTTCCACAATCTTTCTCTGATAATTAGACTCTTGTTGTGTTGTTTGATTTGTTCCACATAGAGCGACTTTAAACAGACTTCACTGTCACCGCCTGTTTGGAATATTCAGCTTTTTTGTCATCTGCTCTCATCACGTTCTTGACAATACTCCATGAGTATTGACCAGAGAGTGTTGAAGGTTTGTGTGTGAGAGTGAGCAGGATATTTGTTCATGTCCACATTCATGTCTCCACAGTTTTTCAAAGGGACTCTGGGTCTGCAGCCTGGAGACTCGGCCCTCTTCATCAATGGGCTTCACATTGATATGGACACACAGGACATCTTCAGGTCAACACACACGCTCACCTTGGGATGTTTTAGTTATGTATAAATGATATAAGCTTAGATGGTAAAGCCTGTAGTATAAAGCACTTTGAGTGGTTGTCAGGACCTGTAGGAGTACAGTCCATCAAATAAATATCGAGACCTGAAACCTAAATACATTCACTCTTTTTATAACCATTTAAACTTTTGGTGCTGTTTTTGGTAAACAGATATAAAGGTACTTGATTAGAATTGGAATTAAAAAGAGAAGAATTCTGAATTTTCTGAAGTTTCTGACAAAATGTATCATAAAAAAAAATCTGGTAATTTATTGATTTGTGCATTTTTTTATGCTTTATAAAATGCCAAAATCTATTCATTTTATTTCTATCTGCAGAAAAACCCACTACTATTAAAGTTGTCAATAAGCCAACAGGTCATCAATAAATCAATGAAGGTCTTAATTACAAAAAGGACACTATATGTTTTACTGCTAAAGCTGTAGATGAATAACCCTGAAGCTTTTTTCCTCTCGTATTTGATGATGTTTTCACTGTCTGTTCTTCTATTTATAATTTTCTGCTGCATTGTAAACACTCTCCTCTGCGTCCTCACCTCTACAGTGTGTTTGAGATCCTGCGCAGTGAGGCCAGAGTGATGGAGGGCCTTCGCTCTCTTCTCATCGATACGCCGTTCATCCACGACATCCTGAAGCTCAACGTCCAGCCGTCTGACTCTGACTACGCCGTGGACATTCGGAACTCGGCCATCAATGTAAGAAATCAAGTGATAATTCCTCATTTTTCTTCTGGACAAACAGTAAGAGTAAAGGTGTTTTTTTTTTGTCACTTTCTCAACTCTCAGTGGATCAACAACCTGGAGGCTGACCACAGGTACAGCTCCTGGCCCTCCAACGTTCAGGAGCTGCTCAGACCAACCTTCCCTGGAGTCATCAGACAGATACGCAAAAACTTTCACAACCTGGTAAATCTGCATCTGAAGTATAAGTTAGTCTCAGAGTGGATGTGACTTATTCTAGAAATAATCACCTACGTGTGTGTGTGTGTTTCTCTGTGTACTGTGCAGGTGATGATTCTGGACCCGAGTCAGGAGAGTGCCTCTGAACTGCTGAGTGTTGCAGAGATGTTTTACGCCAACAACATCCCACTCAGGTTAGTGTTTGTGTCATCAGGAAACAGGCAGACGCTAAAATAGTTATATTTAATGTAGTGAAAGTACTGTGTATGTAAAGACCAGATAAATACATCCCTCCAAGGCAAACCACACTGACGCTGCAGCAGCTGCTGGGACTGAATGTGTGGTTAAAAATTAAATCCTTTTTTAATTTAGCAGGTTTTTTTGTACAGGTCAGGCAAAGTTTGATGTCTCACTGCATGTGGCATTTTAAGATGTAGTTTGAATACTAATGATGCTCACAGCACACACACACACACACACACCATACAGATTAGATTTCCAGGGTTATTCTGACAGTTTCTCTTTTTCTCTGCCTGTGTTTCAGGATTGGTTTGGTGTTTGTGGTGTCTGATGAAGATGACATAGACGGGATGCAGGACCCAGGTGTGGCACTGGTGCGGGCCTACAACTACATCAGTGATGAAGTGAACAGTCAGAGCGCCTTTGAAGCTGTTATTTCGGTGAGTTGATCAAAAATGGTACTTTGATGAAGAGTTTTCATTCTCATTCTCTTTTATGTTGCTAATGGTTTTTTTTTACCATGTACCATTTCTGACATTTTCGTATTATTGTTGTCTTACTTATTGGATAAGGTTTAATTATCTTTTTGATAATGTTTTGCATTATTATGTTCTTTGTAAAAGAGTTTTAACCTACCGGAATGGTAGAAAGATTCTTCTTCTGGACTTGTTTTAGCCTAATGACTCCTTTGATTCATCGTTCATTTTTATAAACCATTAAACTCCTATTCTTTTTTTTTTTTTTAGATGTTTAATCGGGTGCCTGTTGGTGCAAAGCTGAGTGTTGGAGATGTAGTAAAGGTTCTTGAGAAGAGGTTCCCCTACGTGGAGGTCAGCAGTGTCCTGGGGGCTGACTCCAGCTACGATAGCAACAGGAAGGTATGTCTGCTCTGGAGTTGAATTCTTTACCTTAATTTTCAAAGATCTGGTCCATATATGCTCACATCTTCATTAGCAGGGTTCACCCAGTTGTGTGTTTTTTTTTAAATGACCCCATTAAAGGAGATTAAAAGAAGAAATGGAAAAAATAATTGGGGTGGAAGTGATGACCTGTCCCTGGTTTCTCCCGTCTCTTACTGAATGTCAGCCACACTTGGCTTCAGCCTCCATGATCCTGAAAGTTAAACACAATAGGTGACACATAATTAAATAAAGACATCGTCTGTGTAGTGTGTCATGTTCCCAGATGGAGAAAAGCTCTGCTTACTTTTATTGACCGTTAGCTGTTAGCGCTTTAGCAGCTAGGTGTTAATGTTTTTCCAACTGTATTTTAGATTACTTCTGTGCTGAATACATATATATATTTATTATTTATTTTTCTTACTATCATTTTATCGTTAACCATTAACTCCATCATTTTTGCTCTATTTCGATCAACATTTTCCAAAATGTTTGGCAAAGTTTAGCTACTGCATCTTATGTATGACCAACATATTACTATTCTTTACTTTTCTCTTGTACTTTGTACATTTTTAGCTTTTCTATATTTTTGAGTCCAAAGTTGAACCATTCTTTTAAGTAAACTGACTGATAATGTATGAATATGCTGAGAGATTCCCAGTAACCCACTATTGTATATAGAGTTACCTGTAAAATACAGCCTGTGTAAGACGTTTGACCTGGTACGTCATAACATTATCATTTTTAATCTGATGTTTTTGATAATGTCAAACCCACAGAAGCTAAGATTAACTTCCCTCAACCCCTTTGCAATGCTTTGGAGGGGATTTAATCCTGTAAACATCTCCGTCAACAGGAAGGTCGAGCGTACTATGAGCAGACGGGAGTGGGACCGCTGCCTGTGGTCATGTACAATGGAATCCCGTACCAGCGTGAGCAGCTGGACTCTGATGAGCTGGAGACTGTTACCATGCAGAAGATCCTGGAGACCACGTCCTTCTATCAGAGGGCGGTCTACCTGGTCAGTCCTCGTGTGGACAATGACTCACTATGGTCAATTTTCCATTTTTAAAACATCACAAAGTATCTTAACAAATCAGATCAGATATATTTACAGGTACTTGGTGAGTGGAGATAATAGCAGCCAAGGCTTTTCAGTCAAGTCATTATTTTTAAGAAACCAAACACTGAAAAGAGCAGCGGAGACGAGATATTTTTCATCTTTAATTGTGCTATTTTTACAAGCGCTCTTTTAAAGGCTGCTGTGATGAACTTGTCTTTCAGGCAGAATCTTTGTGAGTAATTCTATTTGTCTTTTGCTTATTTCGCTGCTGCCCCGGTGATGAGACCAGCCCCCACTCTTTGATTTGTCTTCAAAGGTGTTTCGTAGAGCATTTACACACAGTGGGCAGTGCTTGGTTTAGTTTTAGTGTTATTGCTTA